AACCTCTAGTAGCATGGTTCATGGCAAGGTTACCCTCTATCCACATTTGTTTCTTTCATGTACGAGTCCTTCCACCAAATGATTACATGTTCTAATATCCCCCGATCAATATTTTGTGCAGGCGGTGTTCATACTGATTTGGTCAACTAATTTGGGTAAAACTTGGAGGCTGGTTTTGGCATATTGATTTGGGATTTCTTTACTTTAATCTCCGATGGCTGCTGGACAGTTTATTACTACGACATTTGAGGAATTCTTCAGTTTTGAATCTCTGGTGGATAGCGGCTTTTAATTTTCTTCTAAAATTCTCTATTTGTTGATCTGATTTCCAGCATGCTCCAAGTAAAATGGATCTTTGCGTTCAATCGATTATCTCAGGTACATACTTGCCTTCAGGTTATGATGTTGTAGAAGTATAACTTCTAGAAACTTTTGTGATGTTTCCCTTTGTGGTGCTTCAGGTTATAAAGTAAAAGCAGTATCTTTTGTTGTCTCGCCTTTTTATTGTTCAATATTTAGATTGTAAACTTAACTATGTCTCTTATTTTGTGAAATAGTATTATCAATTACTATCCTGCTAATCTTACAAGGTCACACAAATGCAACATTTAGTTGGACAAATTATGCAAAGTACGGGATAAAAAACAATACTCATATTGATATAATCGAGATCACGCAGTGAAGGTTTTCTCTTAAAATAGTGAGGGTTAATCTAACATTTGTAAAGACGGGTAATAATGACTTTTCCTAGATGGTGTAGTAATGTCATGGTCCCTTTGATGACATACATATTTGTTCTTTGCTGTGAACTTACAAGAACTGGAAAAATCAACCTATTTATTCAAATTTCAAAAGCATGGAATTGTTTTTCCTTTCTTTTTGTATACTTCTCCTGATGTTTTGATGACAAGCACTTATTGCTAATCTGCATTTCATGATTACATGTTTTTTGGCTGATAGTATTATTAATCCTTTAAAATAATTTTTTTACTTGATATAATGGTTTGTAATGGTCTGCTGCTCAATATAATTGCTGGTATACAATAGATAAAACTATACTTTCACCAATTTATCATCCCTTTATAATATGTTTATTACTACAGATTATGAAACAAAACAAATCAGTGCATCAACGAGGACTAGGGTTATCAAATGATGAGTTGATAAACTGCCAATAAGATGTGAAATCAAGAACCAAGTGTTTCGTATGATGGGCAAGAACAACGAGCTAGGCTAAAAAATAGGGAAAACGAAGATCAAACAAGTTGATGGGTGTTTATGATTTCAGTTTAAGGCTGATTGTACATCAACCTTAGAGCTGTATTTTTACCTTACAACCTGATGCTGTTGCTAAAACTTGCAGCTGGTTAGAATAAGATTTTAGTGTCTGATCTTGCAACTGCAGTACACACATTACGCTGCTAAAACAAGTGCCGGTGCTCTGTTTTGCTAACCTGAATATTCAGTTTGTTGTCCTTAAACCCAAGCAACTTATTTTGTTGTACTCCCTCAGTTCCATAAAACAAGACGTTATTACATTCAATATGCTTGCATATTGTATGTAATAACGTCTTATATTAGCATATTGAATGTAATAATGTCTTATATTATGGACGAAGAGAGTATTTAACATCCATATTTCATTTCATCATATATTTACGAATTTCCTACCATTATACCGAAGAAATGCATGGGCGCGGCAAAGCGCGCCAACAATGATTTAGTTGTATGCTTAATTTGGTTATGCAATACTGTATTTTTAAGTATATATGTTGATGCTCTGTAGATAGAGCATAGATGTTGTGCGGACAGAGAAAATCACATCGCACATGGACTAAACAATGGAACCCGTCGGTGATGTTTTCATCAATCACTCACAATTGTATACCAGCAAGCGTTTGCTCACAACACACATAGCTTGTTAGCAGTAATCATCTATGTTGTTATCGGTCTTCACACACATTTCCGATTACAGACTTGTTTGTCCGCGTATCACACATATCTTGTTAGTTTGAACCGTTTTTGTTCTCATGTCTCAACGCAAACAGTTCATCCAATTGAACCGCATGACGTATATCGCACACACCTTGATCTGGCTGATAGTTTTTTTTTTGTGTTGCCTAATCACAAACAGTTCATCCGAGTGAACCGTATGCTGTATATTGCACACATCTTTGTCTGGCTATCCGTTTCTTTTGTTCCTCCTCATCGCAAACAGTTAATTGAGTTGAACTGTATGCCCTGCATCGCACATGCAACTACAATCTGAACCGTGTTTGATGCATCCTCCATCGCAAATGTTTTGCACATTTTTGATGGTTTTTTTACACCATCGTTTGCGATTATTGCATTGTACACAATTTTGTCGAAGTGTCTCTAATCGTAGTGTCGCGTTAGCAGCATCCTGCAATAGGGATAGTGTTCAATGATATATTTTTTGGTGATGTGCATAAACATTTGTTAGTTAAATATTTGATCAAAATTTGGTACAAGTTACAAAGGGGGGCAATAAACCAGGACGGAGGTAGTACTTCAATGACACACGGTTCCCAAAATTGGAACCGTGTGTAATGACTTTCATTTTGCCTGTTACGTCAATCACACACGGTTGGCTCTAGCAAACCGTTGCCTTCGAAACTCTTTGTGGGACAGAAAACCCTCACCACCCAATTAAAAAAAAAGAAAACCCTCACCATCCCCATGTCACAAAAACCCTCACCCCGCCCGCCACCCCCTCCGGCCCCCCTTCACACCTGCACAAGCTCCTCCGCGTCATGGAAATATCTATTATTCGAATCGCCTTTCAGGATAAATTGGGGGTTAGAAAGTTGGTACCATATGAGTTCCTCTCCACGCAACAGCCTAGCTATCTATGCATTCGAATGACTCTTGATCTCCATTTCATGCTCAGATAGAGGTCTAACCTCCGCCAAAGCTTCTAAATCATCAATGATAGATGAAAGACGAAGCTTCTCTAACATGCTCCTCTGCACGCCCCACGTCTTCAAGACCGCCTGCATCATCGCCGTCTCATTTGTGTAGTTCTCCTCGTCGGACGAGCCGTCAGACGACTCAACATAGTTCTTGTATATGTACTCCAAATCAGATTCCATTGCCTGAAAGAAGAAGGGACAAATTTTCTAGCTTCAACAATGCATCGAACAAGTGCCGGGGCATGGTGAGTATAGTAGTAGTGGATGGTACCTAGCGAGGCGGTCGGAGGAGAGAAGTTGAACAACGACTTAGGAGAAGCGGGGTAGAGCCCGACTGGAACGCTGGAGATGACGAAGACGTAAAGTTCCCGCAGGGGTGTGGCGTAGAGGCCGGGGTGGTGGAGCGACGACGAAGGTAGGGGAGAAAAAAGAAATAAGAGAAAATGAGGAGGATGGAGGCGCGGGGTCCGGAAGGGTTTTTGGGTGGGCTGAGGGTGTCCGAGTCCTACGTGGACTCTCGCAAGGCCCCACGTTTGTCTCGGGTTTGCCGAAAAAAGTACGTCCAGACCGCTCAGTGGACCTATACAGGCCCGCATTGGATGGCAAACCGTGTCCAGACAACGCGGCCCAGACGTATGCGGATGGTTTGAGGGTCCGCCTTGGCGATGCACTTATATGGCAATATGACAACCTCAATAAGAAAAGCTCATCATAACTTTTAGGGTTGGCATATCTGATAAACGTTGGCCACGAGAGATGGCATTTGCGAATGTTAGTCTGGCAGTTTCAATGTATTTAGAGAACTTGGGTGGTTCACAAAACTGCAATGGTATTTCTTTAATTTTGAGTGTAAAAAAGTCATCCAAATTGCACCGTAGGATCAAGATCGTGTGGCAGGTAGGGCGTTCACTAACAGTTTCTCATTGGCAAATGTTCACTAGTTACTATTTTCACATTTTTTACCCACCACTCATCCATCAAAACCAAACACATACTTGGCTATCTCCAACCACCTATCACCCTACTCAACCAACCAGAAAAGGAAAAGTGCTCAAATGAACCAGCTGATCCACACAACGCGTAAATCACCTCGTCCTATCGACGTTTGTCCCACGTGGGCCCCAAATGCACATACGCCTTATTCTTTTCCCTTTCCCCTTTATTCTACCTTCGTCCTCACCTCACATTTTTTCTTCCATCATGAATCCATCTCCTTCCACCTCGCCTCGTGATTCCGTCTTTTTTGCCTTCGCAACCCTGCTGCGAGCGGAGGCGTGCTGTGAGCCCCGAGTAGTGGAGTTGGGAGCATGTCCGCCGGAGTTAGGGAGTGCTCGATCTCGTTAATGCCGTGACCAATGGGAGCACCACCGCTCCGTTGTCGGAGGTGCAATGAAGCACCGCCGGCTTCCGTCGCTGCGATGAAGCTACGACGAGCCGTCGGTGTTGCATTGGAGCACCGTTACGCCGGTGTGGCGCTGCAATGAAGCATCACCGGCTTTTCGTCGATGTTGCGACAGGTTGCGATGGAGCGCCGCTGACTTGTT